AACCATCAGCACTTCCTGAAGAACTGCATTGTCGTTACTCTTGTCTGAGGTCACCATCATCCAGCAGTGGATTGTCAGAAGAGCTGCACACGTGGAATGTGCGTGAAGCGAGGCTACGCAACATCCAGGACTATTATTATTGCTGCTGCTGTTGTTGTTGTCCATAAGATGTGTTGTGGGTTAGATCGCAGAGATATAAACGTGTTGTTAATCCCTCCACCACCTGACACAGCCAATGGTAAGGTTTGTCACGTAATCACAACATGCGCAATGAGTAACTGGCTCAGCACTAACCGGTGGTGTGTTGGAGAGAAAACCCACAACAACATTTACTATTATAGTGTAGTGTATAGTGTAGTGTATAATGTAGTGTATAGTGTAGTGTATAGTGTAGTATACTAGTTCAGCACTAACCGGTGGTGTGTTGGAGAGAAAACCCACAACAACATTTACTATTATAGTGTAGTGTATAGTGTAGTGTATAGTAATGTCGTGTATAGTGTAGTGTATAGTGTAGTATACTAGTTCAGCACTAACTGGTGGTGTGTTGGAGAGAAACCCCACCACAACATTTACAATGCGAGTAGGCTGACGTTTCGCCGATAATTACAACAGCAGCCAGCACCATCAGGCAACAGCCAGAGTTGTGGAGAAATCCTCCCGTTTCGGTCTTAAATAGTACGAGTAGCTGTACCAGTAACGAATTGGCACGTTCTGTTTACGTGACAAACCTTACTAATTGGCCGTGTCGGGTGGGGGCGGGTTTAACGACACATTTACATTTTTACGCGATCTAACAGAAACCTCTGTTGTGGATATTGGCAGTGAAAGCCTGACACTGCGTGTCGCTGTTGTTGTTGATGTTGTTGTTGTCATCTCACGCTGCTCTAAGAGGGATGATTCTGGGGGCCACTGCCCCACTCCCCCCACCCAGGCCAACCCTCGCCTGGGCGAAATGGCTCACAAATAACAAGCAGGGTAAAGCTGTGTGCCGTGCAAACACAGCTAAAGGGGTTTACGATCGCCATTCATACTTACAGTCTCTGGAAATTGTGTGTGTATATATATATACACTGTATATGTGTACAGGCAAATCTATCTCCATTTAACACCGTAGGCTTTCGCGACCAATATTATCAATAATAGAGGGGGGTGTTCTTTTGGGCTGAGATCGCGTAAATATAAATGTAAATATAAGCTTCAAATCAAGATTAAATATAAATGTGTCGTGGAATTCTGGCTGTCGCCTAAAGAGGAATGTTGTAATTTCTGTCGAAACGTCACGGCTACTCGAATTGTAAATGTTGTGGTGGGTTTACTCTCCAGCACACAACCGGTGTGTGTGTGTGTGCTAAGCTAGTCACGTATTGCCACGTTTTTGTTTACGTGACAAACCTCACTGATTGGCCGAGGTCGGGTGGTGGTGGTGGTGTTTAACGACACAACGTTTATATCTCTATGCGATGATCTGACCACAGAAAAGAAGATACCTGTCGCAATTTTGTAATGCGGAGCTTCAGCGCGGTTTTCCGCTCATTGCAGAGGTTCACGGTTCAACTCCAGCGGGACCACCCTGGTTAATACCACGAGTGGATTAACCATAAAGTACCGTGCGGCAATAGCATCCCGTTGAAAAGTTCGAGATCTCGTGACGTCATTTAAAACGAAGAGGCCATCGTGAGCCAATGCCGTGACCCAAATCTACCCACTTCGAAGAATTAGCAAACCACAACATCTTGTCGGGCTCGAACCGCGAGCGTTCGCGACGAACGGCAGAGCCGCGCTACCGCCGGCCCTCATCGCCGGCCCTGAGCCAGTGACCGCCGATGTACCCGGAGAAAACCCAAGAGCACGAGGAGACCACGTGGCTTGTGCCAGCGCCATGTGGGTCCCAAGAGGACGCGAATTCAGACATGGAACTCAATTACGCTCCGGATTAAAGTCTGCACAATCAGGATTTTGACAGCTACATTATTTCTCAGCGTGCACTGCCAGCTATGACGTAAGGATCGTCCACAATAGAGGTGAAACGTACGGATCAGTCACCTCGACACCGACGGACGGACGGACGCGTGGAGAAACAGACACAGAGACGGACAGACGGACGGACGAATGGACGGCGAGATGGAACGGATGGACCGGCACACGAGAGACGGACGGACAGAGCTGATGCATCAACGCTTTCACCTCTCAGAGTGAAAAGGCAAAGCACTTTGGGCCGTTCGCGCCATTGTGCCCGACGGAAACACGAGCCGAACACTCGGCCCTGTGTGGGCCACTGGGTGTCTGTCAATGCGCTGACGTCTCACGCCTCGTACGAGCTCGTTAGGCAGAGCTCAGAATCGTGCTTTTCAATGCCGCATGGGGAAGTGGACGGGCGTGTCAGAGACGAAGCCAGCACAGCTGAGAACCTGGGTTCAACCCCTATCACCGGGTGTCTCTACCCCAGGGGGTTCATAATGGCCGTGTCAGAGACGAAGCCAGCACAGCTGAGAACCTGGGTTCAACCCCTATCACCGGATGTCTCTACCCCAGGGGGTTCATAATGGCCGTGTCAGAGACGTAGAGCCGCTGGGTTCTCAACCGGAGCGAGTTGATGCGGATTTACGGGTCGCCAGTCACTTACTCCGACTGTACAGCTGTGGAACCCACTGTACATCTGTGGAACCTACTGTACATCTGTGGAACCTACTGTACGTCTGTGGAACCCACTGGAGATCTGTGGAATCTAGTGCGAGTATGTGGGTCCTTGTGCGAGTTGTTGGATCTCTGTGTGAGTCTGTGGGTCTCTGTGTGAGTCTGTGGGTCTCTGTGTGAGTCTGTGGGTCTCTGTGTGAGTCGGTGGGTCTCTGTGCGAGTCTGTGGGTCTCTGTGCGAGTCTGTGGGTCTCTGTGCGAGTCTGTGGGTCTCTGTGTGAGTGTGTGGGTCTCTGTGTGAGTCTGTGGGTCTCAGTGCGAGTCTGTGGGTCTCTGTGTGAGTCTCTGGGTCTCTGCATAAGGCAATAAAAAGCTCCACAATGAAGACGGATTCACGAGCCCACTTGCCGTACTGCCACTTCGCAGCCCCAATTTGGTTTGGGAGCTTAATGGATCTCTGTGCGATACACCAACCCCGATTTCTAAATAGCTGGATTACGTGCGAGCGCTACAAGTGGGATGATGTCAGCGGTGGCTCTACAGCGGCAGCATCATAAAGACTAATCCCGAGCCAAATCGCAGCACCACCACCACCACCGCCATCTGCTCCGTGTCCTAATCACACCGCGTATGCAAACATGAGCCCACACTGTATGCACGAGCGTGTGTGCGTGTGGATGAGTGGGTCTCGGTCAACCCATGGCACCACCTGGGTTTGTTCCGTGAGCTCCTGCAAGCAGCGAGCCTTCAACACTTCACGTGACGGCCTCAAAGTGCACCTAGCCTGGCACAAAGCGCCGTGGTGACGTCACCACCACTGAGTGGTGGAAAGGCGGTTATTATTGTTGTTGAGTGGGTGTGTGTGTGGGTGTGTGTGTACCAAATACACTTGGTACAGATATAATGGGAGGCTGATCGATTCCCGGGTGTGGTCAAGCGATGGCTCCCTATTGGTCAACCACGTTATGTATGCCGATGATTTGGTAATTGCTGCTCATTTACATGAGGAATTGGAGACGCTGCTGCTGAAACTGGAGCGTGCCACTAAGAGGTGGGGCTTTACCATCAGCCCCACCAAAACTAAGCACCTGCCTGGGTATTTTGTACCATCGGACACTCCACCCCCACAACTCCCAATCGGTGATGGGGCAGTTATGGAGAGAGTAGAGAGTTTCCCATACCTGGGCAGCGCGCTCATGACCGGCTCCGGTTTAGCAGCAGAGGTCTCACTCCGAATCAGTCGAGCGGCAATATCTTTTCATCGGTTGCATAACGCTGTGTGGAAGCTACCTGGTCTGTCGCTCCGCACGAAGCTTTAGGTCTTCTCGGCAATGGCCATGCCCTCTCTTCTCTACGCTTGCGAAACGTGGACCCCCCTAATGGAACATCATCGCCGGTTCGAAACATTTAGGCTGGCCTGCCTACGATCCATCCTGGAGCTCACAAATCCTTGAAAGATCTGGTCAAAGTCCAATCGGTGAGCTCCTCCGGCAGGCAAGGCTGTGTTGGCTGGGTCATGTAGCCCGCATGCCCAGCCACCGCATACCTAAACAGCTTTTGTTCGGCCGGATAGAGGGGGCTAAACGGGCGCGGCACGGGCTAGAGAAGAGATGGAGTGATGTGGTACAGGAGGACGTGGAGCTGAGTGGACTTGCCGATGACTGGATATCAGCGGTGTCAAGATCGGCCTCAGTGGAGGAGGCTCGTGAAGGACGCTACTGGGCAGTTGGAGGCAGTCGCCCTCCAACAACAACGGAGGGCGGAGGAGCGATGCTCACAACAACGAGCGGAGCGCCGGGTGGATAAAGCACAGCAAGTTGGTACAGTAGGGGGCACAGGTGGTTTATCAGCCAGTCATCTCGGTCATCTCGGTCAGTCGACCCGTGGCACCTGCTGAGTCTGCCCCGTGACCTCCTGCCAGCGGGCGTTCGACACTTCACGTGGCCTCAAGGTGCACTTGGCCTGGCACAAGCGTCGTGGTGACGTCACCGCCACTTAGTGGCGAATGGCGGTTGTTGTTGTTGTTGTATGTGTGTGTATGTGAGCGGTAGTGTAGCGGTTAGCGCGCTGCGCTATGAACCCTGCGACCCAGGTTCGATTCCCGTTCACGGCCAACACCGGTGACGATTATCTGAAGCGGTTCTGGGCCTCCCCTAGGTCGACTCAGCCTCAAATGAGGACCCGGTGCGGTGTGTAAACATCGTCACTGGGGAGACAAAGGCGGTCGGGCGTGGTGCTGGCCACCCACCCCCTCGTGTACCGTTCTGGCCTTCATAGGTGCTCGCTAACAGCACTCGCCCCTACAGTCTACGTCGTGGGAGGCCCAGGACCGGTTCAGATAATCCTCACCGGTGTTGGCCGTGAGCGGGAATCGAACTCGGCTCGCCGGGGTTCACAGCGCATCGCCCCCACCGCTGCGCCACTGTTCCCCCCATCAGCATAGCGGGCCGCGTTTGCAGCACGGTAGCCACCGGCACTCGGAAGCTAAGCAGGCTCCAGCCTGGAGAGCCGCCAGTACGTGATCACCGCGCGCTAAACCCCACCACGCACGCGGCACGCACGCGGCACGCGGGCTGCGTGGCACAGCGGCGGCGCGGGGAGGAGGCGCGGGGAGGAGGCGCTCACCTTCAGGGCCCACGACATCGGACGACGGTCCCAATCCGGATTAGCGGATGTCTTTGGGACTTAGCGTGCGGATGTCTTGGTGGCTTCTCTAATCTGCGGATAAGCGAGAGGTCTCCACGCTTGGCTGTCGCCGAGGTCGGGCAGGAGGTTCGGGCAGGAGGCGCGAGCAGCAGCAGCGGTGGCAGCAGCAGCAGCAGCAGCGGCGGCGATGGCGATGGCGACACGGCGAGTGGTGGCGCTGGCGCTCCTCACCTGCGCAGGTGAGAGACGGCACGCGGTGACTTCGCCACGACACGGCAACGCCAAACTAAACTAAATGTTTATTTTATTTTTAAAAAACTGAACCATGTTTATCCATAACACAGGTTTTTTTTGGGTTAGATCGCGTAAAATCTCTAAATGTGTCGTTAAACCCGCCACCACCCGACACAGCCAATGAGTAAGGTCACGTAAACAGAACGTGCCAATTCGTCACTAGTACAGCACTAGTGTAGTCGTGTATTGTGTAGTGTATAGTAGAGTAGTGTATAGTAGTGTATAGTGTAGTGTGTAGTGTAGTGTATAGTGTAGTGTATAGTAGTGTATAGTGTAGTGTATTATATAGTGTGTAGTGTAGTGTATAGTGTAGTATACTAGTACAGCACTAGCTGGTGTGTGTTGGAGACCAAAGCCACAACATTGACAATCCGAGTACGACGTCTCGCCAGTAATTACAACCAGCTTCATCAGGCAACAGCCGGATTTGTGGAGAAATCCTCCTGTTTCGTTCCTTGGAGGGGTCGATGCGATGGCGTCACTTGTGAGCCCTTCTTCTTCTTACGTTCGTTTTGTTTGACCAGCTAAGGCGCCACTGAGCTGCGTAGCTCTAGAAGCGGCCTGGCCATCACGCGTGATAGTTCAACGGAGTAGCTTATTATTATGAAGTGAACATTCATAGCAGCAGCCAATTACTCCAAATAACTCTCAATTATAAGATACAAAAAATGTCGAGGGGTAAACCGGAGGATCTGGAGAAAAATCCACGCGAGCACGGCGAGAGAGACACGCCAACTGCAAGTATACAGCAGCAGCAGGCGTTGTCCGGGGCGGGGATTGAACCCACGGCCCTCCTGGGTACCAGGCGAGGGAGTTCACTTCTCCGAGGCAGCGCGGCGCCGCTTGCGCCGGTGACCTCCCCTGCTCGCCGCGCGCCGCCCGTGGTGCCAAGTTGCTGCTGGTGCCACCGGGGCGAGAGCTCGGCAGGCCACGAGAGAGAGGAGCCTCCGCTTGAAGCCCCCCCCCTCCCCCGGGGTAACCTAAACGGCACAACATACAAAATAAAGCGGAACGACGAACCCACCGACCCGTCTCGCGTGGGAAATTATAAATATTGCACAAACCTGCGGGCGGTGTTCAACAATCGCTTCCCTGCGGCGCGAGTTGGCTCGGGCAGACAACGTTCAGACCAATCGCGGCACGATTCGAACAAAGCTACAGGGGCGAAGGGGCGAGGGTGCACGAGGCGGACGCAACCGCGCTCGCTCCACCGCACCCACCATCGCGGGTTCGATGCCGTGCCCTGCCGCGGCTGTCCACCCGCAGCTGTAAAAGTGGACGCACCCCACAGTCCGCGTGTCTGGCGAGCGTGGAAGAGTAGGCCAAAGGCACAGCGGTCGCCGGGCCCTGCGTTTGCTGCCGGCGGAGCGTCACGCGTCGCCGGCCGGCTGCCATCGGCGTGTGCGAGCGATGTGGACAGCCCTCGGGGCTCGTCTGCGTCGTGATTCACGCCGTGCCAGCGAGGTGAAAGCGAATGGTTCCCTGCCGTGCCGAGCTGCGGTGGACGTGAACTCGCCCGTTCGTCGGGGCGGCCACGCTGCCTCTGACTTTCTGTGTTGGGTCGTGTCTACAACTTGGCGCGAGGGATTTGTGGAAAAAACTTCGTACATTTGCGTGTAGACAGCTACCAGAGCAGTGTGGTTATTCTCTTTTACCTAACCAGAGCAGGGTCTGTCTAATATACTGACACCCTATTAGACCAGTGTCTATCTCATATACTGACCCTATGAGAAGAGAGACTCTGAAGAGACCCGTCCTATGAGCATTGTACACAATGTATCACATTTATAACAATTATAATAGACACGCGTGTATCTGATCACGAAGAATACATCAGATCAAAGTGAGGTCCGTCAGCCTGGCGACCTTCCACACCCATTGTCGTTGCGTCACGTTCACGGCCGACAAAACCTTTGGCGACGGGGGGGGTGTCCACGTGTTGTGGGAGCGCGAGGCCTCAATCACTGCCGTGTGAGTGGCCGTGTCAGGGAAGCGATCCCATTGATTATCGGGGGCACGGTTTGGGGTCGAGCCGGTCATATACAACTCAAGCAGAAGGTTTTTGAGTTTCGCTTAACCACTTAAAACGATGAAAAAACTGTTTTAGATGTTTACCAGGTAAGACCCCGCTGAGCTCTGTTATCTTTTTCTCGGAAGTGACCCGGCTATGACAAATGATAGCTCAACGAAGTGGCTTAGTAACATGTGGAAATGTTGAGCATCCAAATGCTCCAAGCGCGTGTTTCTAAACGTGGAGGGACAAACCGGAGGACCCGGAGAAAAATCCACGCGACCACGAGGAGAGAGACACGCAAACTCCAAGTATACAGCAGCAGGCGTCAGGGTCGGGATCGAACACACAAACTCCGGTGTACCAGGCGAGGGAGTTAACATCTCACCACAGAGAGAGAGAGACGCGCAAACTCCAAGTATACAGCAGCAGGCGTCGTCAGGGTCGGGATCGAACCCACGACCTCCTGTAGACCAGGCGAGGTAGTTAACATCTCGCCACCGCGGCACTCAACGGATACAACCGGTAACCCAATCCAATCCGTTCGTTTCGGAGCGTGCAATTTAAAACGATGGTCCCGTATTTGGCTTCAGTTTCTCGAAAATGAGCGGTAAACACCGGGTCCCCTGAGTTGGTTCCCGGCTTCGGTGCGGCGTCACGAGCGATGTTGTCTCCCCGTCTCTCCCCGTCTCTCCCCAGCAGCGATCTGCCTCGCAGGAGCCACGGACACCTGGGACTCCCAGGTACACACGAGCCCCCCGGCACTCACACGGCGAGGTCTTCGTGATGATGCCAACCTCGACCCGCACACGGCCGTTTAGTCACAAAGACAAAGATCCCCCGTGTAGCCTTGAACAGACTGTTGGGGCAAGTGCTGTTAGCGAGCACCTATGAAGGTAGGCACGGTACACGAGCGGGTGCGTGGCCAGCACCACGCCCGGCCGCCTTTGTCTCCCCAGTTGTGATGTTTTTACGCACCGCACCGGGTACTCATTTGAGGCTGAGTAGACCTAGGGAAGGCCCAGGACCGGTTTGGATAATCGTCACTGGTGATGGTCACGAGCGGGAATTGAACTCGGGCCGCCGGGTTTGTAGCGCAGTGTGCTAACCGTGACACCACCGCTCCCCACGCACACAAACACCAACACACAAACACACCAACACACAAACACACAAACACCAACACACCAACACACACACAAACACACACACACACACACACAGACACACACACACACAAACACACCGACACACAAAGACACAAACACACAGACCCCAACACACCAACACACAAACACACAAAGACACAAACATACAAACACACCGACACACCGACACACAGACACACAAACACACAGACACACAGACACACACACCAACACACAAACACACACACAGACACACACACAAACACACACACAAACACACAGACAAACACACAAACACACCAACACTCCGACACACCGACACACCAACACACAAACACACAGACATTAGTTACGGGCGCTCCTCGACACACGCTTGTTTGGGTTGCGTCTTTGAAAACCCGAGCGTAAAGTGAAAAATCGCACCATGCATCGAAACGTGTTTTCCCACAAGGTCCCAATATACAACCTAAAATGCGTTGCTAAGAAATTTTTTTCTGACTCAAAACCTACAAAACAGATATTTTCATGCATAAATACGGAGACTAATAACTCGGCCGGTGACTATAAACGAATGCTGTGGAGGTGTAACTTGATAGCCAGGCAACGGCAGAGCACCTCGCGTGCACGAGCTTCTGGGGGTGCACCACTACATCAGCAGTGGTTCAGTCCAAGCAGACGCTGGGCCGGCTTCGACATTCAGAGTCTCATCGGGGGAGTGTTGGCTATCAACAACAAGTCAACTCCTATGACTAATTGGGAATGGGACGCAAGCGTAGGATTGATCACCCTGTCGCTGGCCGCCTTTGGGGAGGGTGTATAGTGTGAAAGGCCGAAACACCCTAGGAACCAAAGGTACACTACTGACGATGCGCTCCCCAAATTTCACCAGGCTCACTGTTCATGAACTCTTGGAAGTGCTTGCACAAAGGATAGTAACATCTCATCCTGTGTTCTTGGAATCAATCGGGGCCGTCTTGCGTCAACGGTGGGGAACTTCCGGGCGCTCTCCGTTCCATGCGGGTCCTCGTTCGACGCAAAACTCGCTGACACACAACACAGACTCGCCACTTTCGTCGTTGTGAGTATTCAAAGTAAAGCATCAGGGTCGTTGCAATGAGGCTATTTACATTGCCGGTAACCGCTTGAAACATCGGCAATAGTTTATATTTTTTTACCGGCTTGGCCTACAGATATAAGCGTGTGGTAACGAGGAGAATACGGTGACCTTTTGAACCGAGAGGCGAATGTTTAATAACAGCGCACCGGACTGACCATCCACACACAAGTCGGGGTTCGATCCCATCTCCCGGCACGGCAGTTTAAAGAACGGGGCGAGATTCTTGGATTCTGCCTCCCCACCCCACCGCCTCCGTCCACCCAGCCAGAGTGTAAAGACAACTTCACTGTTCTTATTTTACCAGGCAAGACCCACTGCGCTATGTAGCAGCTCTTTTACAGAAGCGGCCTGGCCACCAATGATAGCTCAACGAAGTGGCTTATCACGTGTGGGAATGTATTGCAGCCACATACTCTGAACGTGTGATGTGGAGTCCAAATGGGAAAGAAAAAAACGGACGACTCGGATAAACATCCACGTGACCACAGGGAGAAAGAGAGACAAACTCCATAAATACACAGCAGGCGTCAGGGCCGGGATCGAACCCACGACCTCCTGTACACCACGCGAGGTAGTTAACATCCCGTCACCGTGATTATTACAAGAAAGAGACACGCAAACTCCACAGCAGGCGTCTGGGTCGGCATCGAACCCACGACCTCCTGTACACCACGCGAGGTAGTTAACATCCCGTCACCGTGATTATGATGAGAGAGATACACGCAAACTCCAAATACACAGCAGGCATCAGGGTCAGAATGGAACCCACGACCTCCTGTACACGAGGCGAGGTAGTGAACATCTCCTAGCCACCGTGGCGCCCAGTAAAGTCGATGATCGGCAGGTGGCGAGCGGTGGGGGAAAGTGTGGGGGCTATCCCTCCCTCTTCCAAGACATTGGTACAACTTGGAAGAGTCGGGCCGAACACACAGCCCGGTCGAGGCAGGCTCCTGCGTCGCGTGCGCCGCGCCGCGCACGGACGGCGCCCCCTTCGGCACCGCGCCGCCGCCGCGGGACATGCAGAGCTCCCTCGGCACAGCGCCCGCCTGACAGCGAAACGTCGTCTTGCCTCAGGACAACCAGGTGGGGCAGCAGCTGGGAGACCAGGTGGGGCAGCAGCTGGGAGACCAGGTGTGCCAGTGCAGCTGCCTCGAGTCCGGATCGACGCGGGCGGCGCTCGACTGCATCCCAGGCAAGTTGCCAACGCGAGGGGGGCGATGCCCTTCGGCCCCCGACCAATTCACGGTCCACACTCCCCCAACCGCGCCTGCAATTAGCGCGGTTGGCTATGCACGGCGCGAACCAAGTTGGGCAAACGTGCACACAAGTGAGTTTGTTCAAGTGACAAGTGTCAGGTGGAGGTTGGGTGATCAAGTGAAAACCGCCGAGGGACTACAGAACCAGAATGTTGATTTGTAGTGGAGGAGGAATCCGATGAGCTATGAAGCTCTTTTCCACGGATGTCCACTAGGGGCAGTCCCAACAACAAGCAGCACACAAACACGATAGTAGTGGACAGTACAAAGGTAAACCAATCACCCAAACACACAGAATCGAAACTAAACCATCCCCATCCTACCAGGCAAAGCCCACTGAGGTATGAACTTGTTTTTCAGAAGCGACCCGGCCACAAATTATAGCTCAACAAAGTGGCGCATTATTTGGACATTTATAGCAGCCAAAATAATAAAAAATAATCTGAACGCGTGTTTATAAACGTGGAGGGAAAAACCGGAGGACCCGGAGAAAAATCCACGCGGCAACAGACTCCAAATAGACAGCAGCAGGCGTCAGGGTCGGGATCAAACCCGCGACCTCCTGCACACCGGGCAAGGAAGATGACATCTCACCACCGTGGCGCCCCATTAATAAGTGAATAAAGCACATGAATTATAATTGCATCATCAATTCCCAAGCTTCGGTAAGGAGGCGGCAGTAAAAACAACAGCAACAACAGTGGCAGACCACACCAAGACAACACCGCACAGTCCCTCGATACAACATTGTACATTCAAATGGAGTCTCAATACCTTGTGAAGGATTACGTTCACGAACCACGTTTACAAATGTGGCTGTATCCTGGGGTGACCAAAATGGGAACACCAAAACAATGTAACCATAATAAGTATTGCTCAAACATACATCCACATGTCGTAATCATTTCCCTTGGAGCGTGCGTCGCCATGGACAGAACATAGTCAGACTGATCACGGTACAATTACGTAACTAAGCTACGGAAACGTCTCTGTATCTAGATCGGCTCGCATTCCCCTCCAGTGTAAATACATATTCTGATTCTGACAAGTAAATACATATTCTGATTCTGACAAGTAAATACATATTCTGCTTACGAGCTCAAGCCTCCCGTACATCACGTGACCCCCGAGTGAGACTAAGGGATGCAGGGACAGGCTTGAGTCAAGAGACAAACTGAGAATGAGGAGGGGTGATTTGATAGCAAGGGCGCCACGGTGGCTAGGAGATGTTGACTACCTCGCCTGGTGCGCAGGAGGTCGTGGGTTCAATCCCGACACTGACGCCTGCTGTGTATTTGGAGTTTGCGTGTCTCTCTCCCCGTGGTCGCGTGGATTTTTCTCCGGGTCCTCCGGTTTTTTACCACCACATTTAGAAAACACGAGTTTGGGTATTTGGCTGCTATCAATGTCCACGCGATGATTAGCCGCCGTGTTGAGCTATCGTTTGTGATAGCCAGGTCGCTACGCAACAAGAGCCACACAAGCAGCTCAGTGGGCCCTTACCTGGTAAAATAACAAAAATAAAAAGTTATGTTTAGTGACACGGATGTGGAATGACACAGACGAAGATGCAGAGATCGAGTGGCCTGGGCCCGGAGCCCCTCGGGGCCGTTGGCCCTTGAGTCGTTACACCGCACGCCAGACGGCCACGCCGCGGCGTGCAGGCGAGGGCATCACCGGCACATCATCGGCACATCACCGACACATCACCTGCACATCACCGGTACATCGCCGGCGCATCGCCGGCACATCACTGGCACATCACCGGTACATCACAGGCGCATCACCGGCGCATCACCGGCGCATCACCGGCGCATCACCGGCACATCACCGGTACATCACAGGCGCATCACCGGCGCATCACCGGCACATCGCCGGCACATCGCCGGCACATCACAGGCGCATCACCGGTGCATCACTGGCACATCACCGGTGCATCACCGGCACTCGGGAGCTTAGGGACCCACGCCGAGATAAAGAGGCGCTCGCTAATCCCGCTGAGCCGCTGAGCCGCTAAGCCGCCTCCTCCTCCGCGTGGTGAGCAAAGGGCACGGCAATTACCGCAACACAGCCACCTCCACCAGCGATGTCATCATCATCATCAACAACATCAACAACAATAACAACATTACAACCACCGCGGTTACCTAACCCGGAAAGCCACACAGAGTCTCGTTTTGGGCAATGGCCCCTTCTCCATGGCACAGGAATACACCACACACACCACACAACGCGTGTGTGTGTGTGTGTGGTGTCACACCACACACACCACACACAACGCGTGTGTGTGTGACGTGATGTGTCACGTCACACACACACACACACACGTGTGTGTGGTGTGTGACGTGGTGTGTCACCACACACACACACGCGTTGTGTGTGTGTGGTGTGATGTCACGTGTCACACAACGCGTAGCCGGTGCAAGCACGGGTGGGAAATTTGGAACTTCCACAATGAAGGTTTTTATTTTTATGGGTAAGATCGCGTAAATATAAACGTGTCGTTAACCCATCACCACCCGACACAGCCAATTAGTAAGCTTTGTCTGAGAATACGCAGTACATGTTACAGGTTGGATTCTCAGATTTACATTAACCCTCCTTTGGGGGCGGGGCAGGGGGGTATGGCCAGCGTGGAAGAGTAGGCCAAACACCATCAAGTGGGGGCTCTCGATAGCTCCTCTAAGCGGAGGCGCTTCCGCCAGCGGTGGCGACGGAAGGGCTGTGCCTCTACCCGGTGCTCCGTGCCAATCGTCGCGTGTGTCTGCGTGCGCCAGAGTGCCCCTACCACAAGGCGCTGGGCTTCGAGTCCGGGGCAGTGAAGGACTCTCAGATCTCGTGCTCGCACGAGGATCAGTACACGGGCTGGTACACCTCGTGGACTCCGCAGCGGGCCAGACTCAACGCGCAAGGCTTCGGGTACGAGAGACGCCCGTCCGCTCGCTCATAAGCAGAGAAAGACAAAGATCCCCCAGATAGCCTTAACGGACTGTTGGGGCAAGTGCTGTTGGCGAGCACCTATGAAGGCAGGCACGGTACACGAGCGGGTGCGTGGCCAGCACCACGTCCGGCCGCCTTTGTTTTTACGCACCGCACCGGGTACTCATTTGAGGCTGAGTAGACCTAGGGAAGGCCCAGGACCGGTTTCTATAATCGTCACTGGTGATGGCCGTGAGCGGGAATCGAACTCGGGTCGCCAGGTTCGTGGCGCGGCGTAGCGCTAATCGCGACGCCACTGCTCCCCATAGATAGACAACACACACAGACAGACACACACACACAGACACACAGACACACACACACACACACACACACAGACACACGCACACACACACACACACGGCCACGCGCCGAACCCCTGAGCGAGCGTCGGCTCCTCGTCTCTGAGACGTGAGATGTCGTAGACGGCGAGAGTGGCCTGCCGGTTTCCTCTCGGCTGGCCCAACGCCGCCTTCATCATCCAGGTCCGGAGCGCTTACCCAAACCAGCCACAACAGCTGCATGACCCACACAGTCAGTGTTGAGTCAGTCTTGAACCTTACAAATTTCCCCTCGCTATGACAAGGCGGGTTGAAGGGCGGGGGGGCATGACAACCCCAGCTGCGGTGATGAAATACTCACGAGCAGCTTTCATCAGCCAACCAAGACCAGCGCATCGGGGGTTTGAATGAGGTCCTAGGTGGACGTCCACCACGGTGGTGGGAGAATGGCGAGCCCGGTGCTCAGTGCGCAGATAAACTCCGCAGTTGAGTCCAGCAGTGTCAAGGGCCCTCACGGGCACTGGGCAATAGACACTGAGAGGCAGGCACATGCAGACGGACAGCGACAGGCACCATAACAGACTCACGCAGTGGCCACGTGTGTGTTCTACGTCTGAATGTCTCGCTCTCTCGTCCCCCGTCTTCTCCTGAACTCGCCCTCTCACCTTCCCATCCTCCTCCCACACTTTCATCCTCCCATCTTCTCCTCTGCCCACCAGCAGCATCATCATCTTCCGTTCTCCTGTCTCCGCCCTCTCAACTCCACTCTCCCTTCTGCACGCTACCCATCTTCCACATTCTCCTCTGCCCAACATTATCATCATCATCACCGTCATCTCCATCCTCTAATCATCGCATCCCCACCCCTCCTTCCATCCACCGCTCCACCTATCCTCTCATCTCCACTCTCCCAACCCCGACCGTCCCTTCCACCCACCATCACAAATCATCGCAACAACCATTCCATCTCATCACCACCATCACCACTATCACAATCGTCACGACCATCACCACGATCACCATCATGATTCAATCACATCGCCATCACCGCCACCGCCGCCCTCTCTCGGCACAGCTGCGCGTGGCTCTCAAAGTTCCAGGACATGGGGCAGTGGCTGCAGTTCGACCTGCTCGAGGAGCGAGTCATCTCGGGCATCATCACGCAGGGACGCTGCGACACGGACGAGTGGATGACCAAGTACAGCGTCGTCCACCGCTCCCATGAGGCGCTCAACTGGGTCTACTACAAGGACCAGTTCGGCAACAACCGGGTAGGCCGGGGTTCACAACGGAACCCTTGTCGGTTACGCACCGGATGGGTGGTGGTACTCGTGTTGATGGTAGTGGTGGTGGTACTCGTGTTGATGGTGGTGGTGGCAGTGGGTGGTGGTACTCGTGTTGATGGTAATGGTGGTGGTGGTGGTGGTGATACTCGTGTTGATGGTGGTGGTGGCAGTGGGTGGTGGTACTCGTGTTGATGGTAGTGGTGGTACTCGTGTTGATGGTAGTGGTGGTGGTGGTGGTACTCGTGTTGATGGTGGTACTCGTGTTGATGGTGGTGGTGGTACTCGTGTTGATGGTTGTGGTGGTGGTGGTGGTTGTGGTGGTGGTGGTACTCGTGTTGATGGTTGTGGTGGTTGTGGTGGTGGTGGTACTCGTGTTGATGGTTGTGGTGGTGGTGGTTGTGGTGGTGGTGGTACTCGTGTTGATGGTTGTGGCCGCGACCGCTGTGTCACTGACGTCCGCGCCGTTGCCAGGTTTTCTACGGGAACTCGGACCGCTCCACGTCGGTGCAGTCGCTGCTGCGGCCTCCGCTGGTGGCGCGCTACATCCGCCTGCTGCCGCTGGGCTGGCACGTGCGCGTCGCCGTGCGCCTCGAGCTGCTGGAGTGCATGAGCAAATGTTAGTGCCGTCCGCCCCCCCCCGCGCCACTCGCCGCGTAGCCCCCCACCCCCCGCGCCCATCACCGGGGTCCATCGGCGATCATCGCCGTCGTCAGCGGCACCGGCACCGGCGTCGTCATCGGAATCACCGTCGTTGTCACGATTCACGTCATTGTCATCTCGATCATCGGCATCGTCGTCGTCCTCGTCGTCAACAGAATCGTCATGAATACCAAAACCAGTCGTCACTAGCGCCATCATTACCAACAACAACACCGCCAGCATCGCCATCGCCGCCATCATCATAATCACCACCAGTCCTACAAGCACGACTGGCAGCATTATCACCATCATCACCATCATCGCTATAATCAGCGCCATCATCGCCGCTATCAGCCGCACTCCAGGCATCATCTTCATTGTTACCATGATCATCATCATCATATTGTCGTCAGTGCTAACACCATCACAGCATCGCTGCCAGATCCTCCTCGCACAAGGTGGATCTGAATTTTGCGACCTCTTCAATCGCTGTCGACGTGGAAAATTGTTAAGACAGTCAAATCGCAAACACAACAGATGCAGCGTGTCCTCGAAACACCGCGGCCCGCACAAACACAGCGCCCCCCACAAACACAGCGCCCCCCACAAACACAGCGTCCCGCACAAACACCGCACAAACACAGCGTTCCGCACAAACACAGCGCCCCCCACAAACACAGCGCCCCACACAAACACCGCACCCCGCATGCCGGTACCCCCTGGGTGGACCCCCCGGTGCCGCCGAGCAGCCAGTGCAGCGCTGGACTGTGCACTCCACGATTGTCTTGTTAGTTGCGCTGTTCGATGGTGGTGGGTTTTTTTATTTTTTACAACCTTGGTGCTTATTGATTTTTATATGTGTAGTGACTAAATAACGGGGTTTTGATAACAAAAACGGATATAGACCGGTGTGCCCCACGCCTACCCCCAGAGACGCACCGGCATTCCGAGGACACGCTGCACACCACCAACAGACACCCCTAATGTACCCGCGTTCTCATTCAAATAAAAGTCCATTAGTCCAAGCGCGGTAGCACTTGACATGATTTTGTTGTTTATCTTACCGCCAGGCGCTCTAAGTTATTTTGACGTGGGGAATCTGCCCTCCTTAGGTAAAGCGGTTAAGAAACACGCGGTCTCGGACACCTCGCACTCAGTCGCAACGCTACACAGCCACCATCACGATCACGATGAGCGTCGGCAGCAGCGGCAGCGGGAAGCGGAAGAGCAGAGAAAGCGGGGAAGCGGCACGAGTCGCCCGCAAGCCGAGCCCGGCAGCCAGAACCTCGACCTCCAGACGGCCCAGATCGCTTGCAACTGCTCCGGCCGTCAACCGGTCTCCCGCGACGGTTCCGACGACGACGGCGAAATCCGCCGGAGGTTCGCGGAGGAGACGGCGGCGACGGCCCCTTACGAGGACGTCGCAGGCGGCGGCGGCGACGCGGGCGGGTTCGCCGTGGACCCTCCCGGCGACCCTCCCGGCGACAACGCCGCTGGCGGCGGCGAAGAGGAGGGGGACCCGGACGTCGGCGGCAAAGGGTCGGGGAAGAGGCCCGAAGACGGCGACGAGGGGACGCTGGCGGCCCATGTCCAAGTCGCCGGCGCGGACGTCGGGCCGCGGCAGGAGACGTCGACGGCGGGCGGCGCCGCGTCGACGCCCGGTCGAGGCGTGGACGCCGACGGAGGGGAAGCCTCGACGACGACGGGGGAGGAGGAGGCCGACGAGGAGGAGGGACGTGACGGGGACGCCGCCGCCGCCGCCGCCGCCGCCGACGAGGAGGAGGATCGTGACGGTTTCCCACCCGACGGAGACGACCAGGAGATCCAGGTGGACGTGACCCTGAACCAAGACGGCTTCTTCGTTCAGGTCGACACGGACGGCAAGGAGCTCAAGTCCATGTTGGAAGGCGCTCTCAAGCAGCCGTCTGACAACTAACCCGAGCCGTGTTCACGCCGTTATGTTGTCATCATTTAACGACGACCTTTATTTCATTGTATGCTTTAGTGGTTCCCCTTCTTTCTGGCGTTTTTAAAGTTCCCTCTGCCGGTTGAGAAAGCTTCGTGCGTGCGCGCTCAATGTTCCCGTCTTCACGGCACAACGATAAATGTTTGTTGACGTGCGATGGCAATCGCTGCATTTAATCTGGCACGGGTAGTAGCCGTGGTAGGTCACGAGGCATTTTTGACGTTACTCAAACGTGCTTGGCTTGGCACTCTCCTATATCTGTGGCCCTGTACCCAGATGAGGAAATTCCACATTCCCATGGCAAGAGCCATACTCTCTGTAGGACAACCATAAAGTGGCGATACGTGTTCTCTATCCTCGAGGTGATGACATCGATGGTGATGATAATAGATGGTTGATGATCCATGAATTATAAAGGTGATGGACAACTATTGATTATAACGATGATCATGGTCGATGAAATGGTGATTGATGATCAAGATGATTACCGCATGATTATCGATCATGTGATAAATGAACACATAAGTTACGTATAGAACGTGAATACTTTGCCCAGTTAATTAGTATATGGTCAAACTATTGATTCCTGATTAAAGGTGGATAAGAGATGATGATGATGACCAATGGATAACTGGATACATTTATGAGTGATCGGATTATGATGATGAGAATCTGAAAACAGTGGTGGTTGTGGTGATAACACGATGACCATCAGATTATTGATTATAACGATGATCAGGTTACGAGAAGTGAAGATGATGATGATAATAAAAGGTCGAGTTTAACCCCCGAACGAAGCTTTGAACTGTGACCTTCCGATGGCGAGTCCGGTTCTCCCACCACGGCACCATCTGCCCAGACGTGCTATGGCGGCTTCTTAACTGTGTGGGGGCGGGGGGGTCCACGGAGAGCGAACAGAACGTAGGTACATTAACTCGCGGTAACAATTCAGTACAATGCGCTGTTGGCGCCGTGGGCCCGACAGCACAGGGCGATCGTGACGAAGGAGCTGGTGGTTTTCACGGAGCTTTAGCTGGAGAGGGCCGATGCTGCTGATACCGCGCGCGATCCCAATCGAGTAGTTTTGAGTTGCTCATTTTTATTAATTTCGCAAAAATTTGGACCGTGATGCCTGCACACGGTGGGGGGCCTCCTCATTTCGAATGACGTCGCCGGATCAATCTTTTTGGTCGCCTCAGCGTAGCAAAACACCGCGGTAATAACCGAGGCGGCCTGCCAAGGTTCGAACCGCGGAGCTCTGCAACGAGCGGCGAGAACGAGGGGAGACGACATGACAGGACGACTCAAACGACGTCGTGTTACCTCGTAGAGACGCACACCTGGACCGGGCGTCCCAGCCTGTCCAACGCCGGTTCAAGTTACGACGAAGGTTAAAAAAAATATATACCCCAAAGTTAAGGTCAGGAGACATCACCAGGATATTCATTCCCTAGGCGTCCACTACATTCCATGGCGGACTCCGACACGGGACCACGTGCTTGGTACCGTATTCTCAAGGCTGTACGGCGCTCCGGAGAGAGAAAGATTTACCCCAAACAGGTGCCCGGTGCCAATAAGTCGTCATAGAAATCTGGTCTCGCATGCACACGCATCGGATTATCAGATGCACCCCCCAACCTGTTCTTAAAAATACGGGGGGGACACAGTGCATCTTCCAAGAGGGAGAATACGGTAAATACTCCAAACAGCACCTACCTGCACAGATACGAGCTGATTGTGTCACTCCATCTCCCCTTTCGACGACACCTCTGACGCGTTCCCACCTGACCACCCTGCGTGGCTGCCCGTGACCACCGCCACGTGACCACCCCCACGTGACCACCCCCACGTGACCACCCCGACTTAGCCGAGTGTGTCCCGTGGCTCTTGGCCACATGGAACGTTTAGTTTGTGGCTCGTACGAGTCACGAGGTTTGGCCACTCCCTGGGCAATTATAAAATGTGGTGAGTGCCCAGTGAAATCAACGTTTCCTTTTACAAACACCCACAAATAACCTCGCATTGGAAGTGAGCCTCAGACACGTGGCATGTGTTTGGAGTGTCAAGGCCGGTTCGGGTGAGCAACTCGTACGTTTGGAATGAAAACTCACAAGAAGGCGCTGGAGATGTAATCAGGAGAACGAGGTTGTGATGAGTGGGAGAGGTGTGCAGGGTGGCGGAGGAGGGCAGGTTACCGAGGCAAACACTGCAGAGGTTGCGATGCAAAGGGGAAAAGACAAAGCCAGATTGGTGGTGGTATATGTACCCTTAGGTTTTTTCGGTAAAGTCACGTGGGTAAAAAATGAATAATTAAAATAATAGAAATAATAGAAATAAAATAATAAATCACGTTTCGGAGGCAACACAAGTCTTCGTCATCAGGTGGGACCGCTGTGCTAAATCTAGCTGTGACGGTCCCACCTGATGACGGAGACTTGTGTTGCCTCTGAAACGTCGTGATTTATTATTTTATTTCTATTATTTGTATTATTTACTTTTTACCTACGTGACTTTACCGAAAAAACCTAAGAGTATGAATCCTTGCAGTCACGAAAGCTTCAAATCTAGAATTGGTGGTGGTGGTGTTGGTGAGAATCTGAGTGGTCTTTGAAAGGACCAAGAAGACCTAAAGTCACACAGTGGCGACGAGACCGAAGGAAGCAGTCCTCGGAGGTTGACTGTAAAATAGCTGAATCTAGCAGAGGGAAGGAAGCGATGGTGAGGTGTGGTGACATCAATGGCATTGGCTGTCGATCGATTGTTTTGCTAATCAAAATGCTCATACGAACACAAACGCGCACGTGTGATTCAGAAACAACCAGCTCTTTAATTGCATGACGTCTTAGTAACGCTTTACAAAACAAGACAGAAGGTAGATTTGCTATAGTAACAATAATAGTTCTGCCAAGGTAAACATCAAAAGCTATACTTGAGTGCACTTAGATATTATTGCCGTTCAAAGTATTAAGTAGAACACAAAACAGCTCGTATGTTGTAGCCGCATGCCTCGGGACCACAAGCCTGGGCTGACCCATGCACGAGATCGAAGCTTCGTTGTTGAGCAAACTTCGTTAAGAAGATACCGAGGCAATGGTGGAGCAGCGACACCGCACTTGAAATGGCCGGCAAAGCAATATTCATCTCGTCACCGTAAGCATCTTAGTTAGCCGCACTGATCGTGACCTGGGGGGGGATATTTTCAGGGTGTTGACAAGGCCCACTGGGCACTGGGCAAGCAGCAGCGTTCGCCGCTTGTTGAAGAGGTTCCCGGTTTGAAATTTGGCAGCCGCCCCCGGTTAATACTGCAGGGTGTATGCACTGCACAATACTACGTGCCGTCTGCCTGCTTCAGATCACGTGTGATGCCTTTTCGAAAACGGTCGGCCACTGCATGCCGGGTCTACACGGTCCAAATTTACAATTGTACCCACAAATTACTCAATTGGGATGAACCGCATGGCAATATCGCCCCCCCTCCCACTGTGAAACTACCGCAGCAGCAAGAGAAACACCGGGGTCTCTCCAACACACCGGTTGTATGTTGGAGAGTAAACCGACATTTACTCAAATTGTAAATATTGTGGTGCGTTTACTCACCGACACACAAGCAGTGTGTTGACTAGTAACTGATTAGCACGTTTTGTTTACGTGACAAACCTTATTAATTGGCTGTCGGGTGGTGGCGGGTTTAACAACACATTTATATTTACGCCAACTATCTCAAAAAACCTCTACGATGCAGAATAAGAAGAGTCATGACCTGCAGTGCGGTGAGTTGTTGTGGCCTACAGCATGGTGGTTGAACACAGACAGCACGGACGGGACGACACGGTCAAGCGATGCCACACAAACACACACGACTTCTCGGTTAACGACATTTCAAACGCCGGACGCACGGCCTAGACTCGTGGCTCCGCGACTCGTCCGTTTCGTGGATTGGTGCTTCCATTCGGTCAAACATTATTGCAAAAGTGCGTGCTAATTAAAGTGATAAACAAAAGATGGGACGAAACGAGGTACATAAAAAAAGGAGGGTAACAGCACACCGCATAAATAACTGTACGAAGAGGAGACACACGTGTGTGCGCGTGCGTCGCAGTGACAGGCAGCACACGAAGCAAAGACGCGAACAAAAATTACCGCGAAAACCAAACAAATCTTTCCGTCGCGATATTTACAACGATTATTGCAGAATATTTTTCAGAGAACATTAACGATTAAAAGCTTTTTTGCTTCTTAAGGTCGGGCTCAGCGACTTAAATGATTAGCATCCTTGAGGAATGCAGTAATTGAGAGTTGATTATCATTGCATGCTTTAACGAAATTAAAAGAACAAAAACTCCAATATGTTCAATAAATGTTAAGAATAATAAAAAATCTAATCAAAATTTTTTTTTTCAAACACTTGTGCCATGTGTGCGGAGTGGTGCTCATCTCCACAGCGGGTGCTGGGTTGGAAGGGAAAAGTCCACATTCCTATGGCAAGGACCAGTCTCCCTTTCGAGCACCCACTGCAGACTGCAGAGATTGGGGCAAATCATTTCATCTGCCCCTAAGGTGATGATGATGGGTAGATGGATTGATAATGATAATGATGGATTAATGATACTTCTCCTGCTGATCATTATTATTTGGCAGCTGCTGCTCGCTCAGCCACTCTCGGGAGTCAATCCCTGCGATTGCAAAACACCAACCCCCACTGCCAATACTCTACAAATCACTCTCGGGCTCATGGCTCACAGCGCCGTCTCTCTGAGCTCGCTCACGCCGTGCCTCTTGTACTGGGCGCCGCCGACAAGGCGGGCCTTCACATCCCACGGCTTCTTTGGCAAAGTGTCCGGCGCCACGGAGCGCTGCACGGACTGGGCGCTGTGATTCCCGCCGCCCAGCGCCGGCGCCGTGGACGTCGCCAACGCCGGCCTCTGCGGTTTTGCGGCATGGTCGCCCCACGTCGCTTGCCTTAGAGGGTACGGCTGCAGGTGGCGCCGCTCGCTCCGGACTGGCTGCTGCTGCTGCTGCTGCTGTTGATGCTGCTGATGAAGCTGCTGATTATGCTGTTGATGATGATGGTGGTGGTGGTGGTGGAGAAAAGGTTGTAGGCGGGGCTCTGGAGCCACGACGGGATTGGCGGATGCTGCCACCGTCGCAGAAGGTCGGCCCAGCAGTCTGATTGGCTGTTGACACGAGACGGGGGAGAGGATGAATCTTGAATCAAGATAACCAATTTGCTATTTTAAATACACATCTCTTCCCATTTTATTGTTATTATTTTTCCTTAACTAATAAATGTCATGAGAAACTTCTGTTCCTCAATTAAGATCATAAATCACCTTGGTTAAATCCCTGGAGAACAAAACCCACAGTGGAACCCAACATGTCTGCGGTGCCAGCTCAGAGCGGTATAGTTTATCACAGCTCAACTCTGAATCGGCCTCTAACACTCAGGCGAGGCTCAGGCTGGAGCCCCTCTCGGTTGCTGTCTAAGACACGCGAGTGGCTCAGCCGTGGATCAGCTCAGGCTCAGCTCATGGGAATCCTGAGCACGACTGGGACCATGCTCGGAGCCGGTTCAAGTTAAGGGTAGTGGCTTTGAGCCGGCTCACTTGAGCTGGGAACCAAGCCTGAGCTGAGCCGTGACTCAAGAATGCGGGCATCAATGTCTCTGCCCACTGATCTACCTCAGGGTTATTCTAGTTTAGAGATCCACTTCAGGGTGTGCGGGCAGGCAATCTAATATCATGGCTAAAATAAATATTTTTTAATTGTTATTGCGAACCTTTGTTGTTTCATAAACTTTTTGTCAAGGCATGAAATATTTAATAAAACCGATATGAAAAACGGATATTCATGTCATGACGAAATTTAGAAAATCGGACGACCCGATAATCATCAGGATTTATATCGTACAACGTAACCGAGTGTCGCCAAATCGCAGCCGCCCTGGTGCCTCTATTCGTGCCGGAAGCTCCCCAAAGGACAAACAAAACGATTACAAAGTGAAGGGACCCTGAAAGCGCGATAACCATCAAATTGTGAAACGTACGATTGTATCGTTAGACCCGACGCAAAGCCAACCCTAGTGCGGAGAGACGCGGGCGGCAGTGTCACCGCAAGCTGCGCACAGACCTGTGCGTGTGAGGTGGAGGAGGAGGCCGTGGAGGCGGTAGATGAGACCGAGTCGGCGCTGCGCTCGCCGTTATAGTGACGCATGCGTGGAGGTGGATCTGTCGAGCGGCACAACAACATGCTGCCGACGCCGCCGCCATCGCCACCACCGCCACCACGAACAGCAGCGCCTCTGTCCCTTAAGACATCCGGCTCAAGAACCTAATGCACGCAGGGGATTCAGAGACCGGACGATTGTGAGTTTGTCATGGCCGATGGCAAAATCACCCAGAATCTATCCTGATCTCATCAGCTCTCGGAAGCCAAGCAACAAATACGCAAGCGAACAAATTCTCGCGTGAAAAATCAAGTGCACAAACAAAAAAATGCGTTCACTCTTCGTGAAATTTTTTGGTGTAGATCTTCCAAACCTGGCTCTTAGTCTTCTTGCGGATGGCCTGCAGGAAGCCCAGCCGCTCCTCTTTGGTGCGGCAAACGGCGGCGGTGGTGGTGGTTGCGGCGGTGGCACCACTGCTTATGGAAACATCCAGTCCTCTCCTGCACACACCAATGGGCGGAGAGAGTCAGACTTGCAGAAGCCAGAAATGTTGATATCCATTCATCATCAGCCACGATCTATCAACTGCTGAATGCACCGCCCCCCCCTCAAGCTAACGTCATCCCCCCCCATGGCCCATTGCTGCTACCGCTGCATCTCGCTCCGGCACGTGAATCGATGCCGCGGCTCCATCTCCACGGTGGAGTCTCCAATGGATGCAAATACAGGATCTACACGGGAATTACCAGAGGGCGGCCCACACTCACCAGAGGTCAAAGGTAGACATCCGTTTGGGGCAGCCGTGCGCGTCCGAGTCTCGGCTTGTGATCCTGGTGGCACCATCCAATGCAGGCAAATCTGAAGGGGCGAATGAGTGAGCAAAATTAAGGAAATAGTAGGTAGGCAGGCACCGCCAGATACGCGCACTGGCGATTACACTGCACATGGATCTCCATAAGAGGTTTTTTTGGGTTTGATCGCGTAAATTTAAATGTGTCGCTAAACCCGCCACCACCCGACACAATTAGTAAGGTTTATCACATAAACACAACGTGTCAATTAACGACACATTCATATTTACGCGATTTAACCCAAACAAAAACTTCTTATGGATAATATTGGTCTTGAAAGCCTATGTGTTAAACTGCACAAGGCCTGTAATCTATGAGAAAGAAGAACTGGATCGGACACAATGAGAATCACAAACATTACTTAAACTGCAGGAGGAATCCGATGATACTATGCAGCTCTTTTTGAGAGATGCCCAGTAAGGGCGGGGAACACAATGTACGAGGGGATGGTCCGGTGAAGGCATTTATTACATCGAAGGGAAAAGAACGAAAGGAAGGCCGTGGATCGTGATGTTGGAGGGGCTGAAGGAAGGGGTCGTGAAGAGAGGGATGATGATGATGAAGGAGGAGGCAGCCAAGGCCCTGCCCACTAAGGAAGGGTGACAAGGAGACGTAGAAACAAAACAAAAAGTCCGCCTTGCCTGATCCGAGTTGGGGCTTGGATCTGTGAACCCCGTTGCTCGATTCCCGACACACCGGAGTATTCTCTTTGGAGGCTCCCGCCAACGCCAATAAATCAACGTCGCCCGGACAGGCCATCTGAAAATGACATCATCATCATCATCATCCACGAACAAATCCTCTGCTGGGTGAAGGCCTCCCCCAAGCCATCGCCAACTCTCATGGTTTCACAATGTAGCACCCGGAAGAGGAATACGCGGATCAGCATCGCTGTGGAAATATACAAGTAACAACAAAGCAAACAAGCTTGGGAAGGATGGCCGCACAGACCTGTGCACAGCCTGCACACACGGCGTTATCTATTTTGTCAAGTGGGATAGGGCAGGACGATGCCCGCCGGTTGAGGCTGAACACCAGAGTGGCGGCCAAGCAGAGAATGCGCCCGAGAGGACGTCCACGACGGAGATGGAGCGACTGGAGCGGCTCGATGTGCGCCCATAACAGAAGGCAACTTATCACGGAGGTTTTCACAGCCAATATTATTATCCAGTAAAGATGTTTGGGATACTGGGTCTCGCCATGTTTGTGTAAAAAGACCCTCCTCCCCACCCGACAGAGCCAAACAAATCAAAGTGTGTACAATAGAAAATCTAGATGAGAACCGCTTGCTCTTCAGGTTGGATCTGCCATTATTACCGTGGACTAGATTACAAAAAGTTCAGCGATCATTGTTACAAAAGGGGTGGGGGGGGGTGCCTCTCATCCTCACTGTGTGTCGATGATGGGGGGCCCGCGTAGGCTGTCGAGACAGCACCCTCAGAAACGACGGCTTCACGCGCCTCTGCACAGCCTGCGTACACACAGCACAACGCAATCAAGTCCTGATCCCTCGCCGCTCCCCCCGTTCTGGGACTGCGCTCCCCCATCCTAGAACATCACCCAGATGCGGGAGAACGGTGGCCAACAGTGGAACATTGCAGACGTCCAGAATAAAGGCCTCATTCGAGACCCCACACATCGTTCCTCAAAGACACCGGTCTACCTATTAACCGCAACAGAACATCAACAGGCTGGATGCGCACATCCACTAAAGACAAGCTGCAGTAGTGTGATTGTGGCCACACAACCCAAACAATGGACCGAATGTTAAACCACTGTAGTTTACACTGCTTCAGTGAACAGCAACATTAACCCAAATTGTCTCCTGAAGCCCTCTTGTGGCGAACATACCCCAACATTGATGTAGTGACATACGACGTCACTACTGTGTTGGCTCGTTATGGGTGCTGTTGGCGGGTGTCACGGAGGTCAGGTCAGGCCGTGAACCCAACAGGACACGTGACCGAACAAAGGGGGGCTAGGGACCCCAGGGGGGAGCTTGGGGGTCACGTGGGGGGAGTGGCCTGGGTCGGAGCCGGCCACGCCACGGCAGCTACAAGCGGGGTGTGAACAGAGCGCTGGGCTGTTCAACCCTGGGATAAAGACGCCATCAGCGGTCCTCGAGTCTCCGACCGTCGTTTGTGACCAGGCAGCCCGTCACCTGCCCTGGCCACGCTGTGTAGTACTCCCCGAGTGTTCGTGAGACTAGGAACGGTGGTCACCACCCTGCATATGTTCACGTTGGTTGTTATGGGTTAATAGTGTTGCCTCCAAGTTGAGTGTGCGCCTCAATTGAACCCACTACATTAGCATTTAGCTCCCGAAAATGTTGCCATAACGAGAAAAGCATACCCCATTGCCATTACTTAAACCATTGCAATGCCCTGCAGCAGTCTCAGGGACCCACGGTGGCAAACATCTCTTGACGTTGCACAGGCCTGCAAATGAGCACAGTCTGCCAGTAGGGGGCAACGTTGCTATGTGGATTTTCCCATTTAAATAATTGGCAGGTAGTTTTTTTTTAAGTTACGAAAGTTGCCTAACCATGAAGCCAGCACACACAGCTATGATGAACCTCCTGAGAGAGAGAGAGCGAGACACCCAGCCCTTGGGCTCACACGCACGACCCCAGCAGTGCCGGCTCCGTGTCTCCACGGCGACTACCTTCGCATCTCCCGCACCACAGTCGACGCAGGAGCAGGAACCGCCGCCCGTCAGCATCCCGACCGGCGCCTCGCACCGGCGCCTCCTCGTCCCCTCCCTCTCGCTCTCGGCGCCGCCGTACGAATGCCGCGTGCCGGCCGCCGCCTGCCCCAACGCTCCCGGCGTCACCACCGCCACCGGCGCCGGCACCGCCGCCGCCGGTCCAGCATTGCGCCACCTCAGCAGCCGGCCCTCGCCAGCGACTCCCACCTGGCGCCCGTTCCTCACGGCGCCGCCAGCGCCCGTCGGCAGCGGCGGTGCCGCGGGTCGCCGGACGGGAGAAGCCACCGACTCGGCGAGGGCTCGCGGCTCGTCCCTCGGTTCGATCGGCACGTCGACCCGCAGCAAGCGCTCCTCCGCCGTGCAGCGGCCGTAAACGTCACGCCTCTGGCGCTGCCCGCTCGACTTAAGGTACCGGCAGCCGGCGCCGGGCTCCGAGCCTCTCGGCGAAGTGGCGATCGACTCGGCGCTTTCCTTCCACAAACGGACGCCGGCAACGGCACCGGCGGGATTGGCGGCGGATGCAACCTCTGCGGTGTCGCTGCCGGACGAGAGACGCTTCTCTCGTCCGCCGAGGCTCTGCTCCGAGCCGCTGCCGGTCAGGGTTTTGGCAACGGTCGGCGCAACCGGGACGGCGCCCAGCGAGCGACGCTTCTCGAGCGCAGGCGCGCGTCGCGTAGAGAAGGGTAGTGGTGCGGTCGTGCCGTCGATCGGTGCTGGCTCCCCCGACGAGCCGTGGGACCGCCCGCTGGTTCGGAGTGACGGGAGCTCGCCGTTGAGTTGCTCGCTGGAGTTGGCGCTTTCGTGGTGCCGCGGCGGGTGCGTGCCAGGAGTGAATTCTGAACTGGTGCCACTGCCAGTGGTGGGAGGATGTGGCAGGGAGGAGGGCGATCCTGGGCAGCGATTGTTGTTGTCGCGGTCGTGGTTGTTGTTGTTGTGAGCGGGGAGAGTGGCGGAGGTGGCGCTGGCAGTTGTAGCCAGTTGTTGTGCTCCGCTCCTGGAGCTGTAATCCACGGAAGGGGCAGTCCCGGCATCCTCGCTTTCCCGAGGGCTTTAATAGCAAAGGAAATAAAATGAGAGTCTAAAATGAGAGAGAATAAACGACAGGCGCCTAACTATTAACCACCCCAGTAGCAAAGCGTGGTTGGCAGGGGCCCTGGTGTCAAGGCTTAATAGCAATAATACATTTGGTGTTCTCGCAAGTTGTATAGCCCAATGCTATAACGGAGCGGCTATGTTTTGCAGACAATCAGGAATAGTTTAATAGTAGGGAGCGATAAAAAAACACAACTTTGAAAAATTATGAAGCGAAATTAAACCTCGATTTAAAGCTTTCATGACTGCAGGGATTCATATTCTTGGTTCATTCGGTAAAATCACGTTTTCTGTTTTTTATTTCCCTTCCACGTGACTTTACCGAAAGAACCAAGAATATCAAATTAAACCGTCAAAACTCATCTGGGCGATAATGGTTATACCGGACTTTTTTGCCAGTATCAAAATATAAGAATAGGTTTTATCCGTTCTGGCAATAAAACAGTTGTGTTCAGATGTATATATTATCAGAGCGTGTTTTTGTTTGCATATTCACCAAAAGTACGTGAGGGATTAATGCAGACAGGATTCCTTGCAAAAGGTTTCTGTTTTGTGTCTTATTTTGTACGTATTTAACACCTCTTTTACTGCCAGAAAGGGTAAAACCTAGTCTCATGTGATAATCGTCATATTGCAGAATGTTATTTTGTATCGTGGTCGATCGTGAAATTATTACATCGTGGTAACAGTATTAACGGGGCCCCCTGTAACGGAGAGAACGGGAACCGCGACCGGTGCGTGCGTGTGTGTGCGTGTGTGTGCGTGTGTGTGTGTGTGCGTGTGTGTGCGTGTGTGTGTGTGTGCGTGTGTGTGCGTGTGTGTGCGTGTGTGTGTGTGCGTGTGTGTGCGTGTGTGTGTGCGTGTGTGTGTGCGTGTGTGTGTGTGCGTGTGTGTGCGTGTGTGTGTGCGTGTGTGTGCGTGTGTGTGCGTGCGTGTGTGTGCGTGTGTGTGTGTGCGTGTGTGTGCGTGTGTGTGCGTGTGTGTGCGTGCGTGTGTGTGCGTGTGTGTGCGTGTGTGTGCGTGTGTGTGTGTGCGTGTGTGTGTGCGTGTGTGTGTGCGTGTGTGTGCGTGCGTGTGTGTGCGTGTGTGTGCGTGTGTGTGTGCGTGTGTGTGTGTGCGTGTGTGTGCGTGTGTGTGTGCGTGTGTGTGTGTGCGTGTGTGTGCGTGTGTGTGTGTGCGTGTGTGTGCGTGTGTGCGTGTGTGTGTGTGCGCGTGTGTGCCTGTGTGTGCGTGCGCATGCGTGTGTGTGTGTGCGCGTGTGTGCCTGTGTGCGCGGGTGTGCACGTGTGTGCGCGGGTGTGCGTGTGTGCGAACCTGTGCTGTGTGGGAGACCCGTGCTTGTGGCTGGGATGGGCGGGGGGGCAGTCCCGCGTTGGGCGGTCCAGCAGGCGCTGTGTGAGGAACGCTGGGTGGTTGAGACCGAGTCCCGCGTCGAAACGCTCCTCCGGGTCCAACCGCAGCAAGTTCTGCGTGCGTAGCGACACGGCGCGCACAGATGCGCAGAGGCGCGTGCATATATAGGCACACAAAGTCAAACTCCGACCCATTTCATACGAGCTAATGACAATTAATTAAATTCTAATGAAATAAATTTGGTATTCGTGCATAGTCCGAGCGCCCTGGGCTAGCACCAAGGCGCTGTGCTTTTTCTCTCCACTGGTAACTCTTTTCCTTATAAACACTTTCTGTGTTTAGGTTGTTATCCTTCCTCCCGCGCTTCCGATTAGCACGGTTGGCTACGTACGGTGCAAAAGAAGTTCAACATATAAATACAGGGTGCTTCAAAAAAATGTTAATGCCTCGGAGAATTTCCAACAACACCACGACAAATGTGCCTCCGGGCTCTGGAAACCACCTGGAGAAGATTCCAGGCCATGTGTTGATGGTGAACAAGTGGAGACTCTGACTTGTTTAAGCTATTAACAAACATTTGCTATCATGTTACAGTGCATTATCCATTCTTTTGCCATTAAAAACGATAGTCCCATACAAGTGTTAACATGTGTTTGAAGCAGCCTGTATATATGTTTGTCATATCGATGTAGTCTGCCAGTAGAAAGCAGCGTTGCTGTGTGTAACCCCAATTGAGTAGTTTGCGGGCGATTCCCATAAACACAGACTGTTGTGGCTGCGCTGTGAGTGAGCGCCAATGCAGGCAGCCATTGCACACAGTGGGGCGGTGTGACACGTGGTGACACAAGGGGGGTGTGACACGTGGGGGGGAGAGGGTGACACGTGGGGGTGGTGACACAAGGGGGGAGTGGTGACACGATGGGGGTGACACGTGAGAACTCTACGCCGTGTTGGCCTTCATCAGTTGCTTACGAAAAGCAACTGTCCCAACAGTCTGTTCAGGCTATAATGGGGATCTTTGTTGTTGCTGATGTTACTGCCACTGTGGTTGTTGTTGTTGTTGTTGACTTAGCAAGAGCCATTACCTTAATGAGGTCGAGCATGACACCACTGAGCACACCGAGGTATCTGCGCTCCAGCGTTTCGGGATAGACGACGGTGGGGAACTGGAAACACAGAGACCGAAGAAGGGGCATGAGTTTAGATCCCAGCCAGAGGTCAATTCGTTACAGAATCAGAAGCTTTATTTACACTCGAGGAATCCCTGAGCTACGAAGTTCTTATTCACAGTTGTCTAGCAAGGGGGCGGGTCAGCAAGTTACGACAAACAATACAAAATTAATCAAACTCTTCATCGTTATCAAGGATAGCAAGGCACGGTTCTGCCCACACCCCCGTTTCGTGTATGTGTCACCGTGGCGTACACACACACGTACACACACGTACACACACACGTACACACACACGCACACACACACACGTACACACACACAAGTACACACACACGTACACACTAACGAGCTCCGCTCGTTGTTGTGAGCGTCGCTCCTCCGCCCTCCGTTGTTGTTGGAGGGCGACTGCCTCCAACTGCCCAGTAGCGTCCTTCACGAGCCTCCTCCACTGAGGCCGATCTTGACACCGCTGGTACCAGTCATCGGCAAGTCACACACGTACACACACACACGTACACACACACACGTACACACACACACGTACACACACACACGTACACACACACAAGTACACACACACGTACACACACGTACACACACGTACACACACACAAGTACACACACACGTACACACACGTACACACACACACACACGTACACACACACACGTACACACACACGTACACACACACACGTACACACACACACACGTACACACACACACACGTACACACACACACGTACACACACACGTACACACACACGTACACACACACAAGTACACACGCACACACACACGCACACACACACGCACACACACACGCACACACACACGTACACACACACGTACACACACACGTACACACACACGTACACACACACGTACACACACACGTGCACACACGTGCACACACGTACACACACACGTACACACACACGTACACACACACGTACACACACACGTACACACACACGTACACACACGTACACACACGTACACACACAAGTACACACACACAAGTACACACACACAAGTACACACACACAAGTACACACACACAAGTACACACACACGTACACACACACAAGTACACACACACAAGTACACACACACGTACACACACGTACACACACACACGTACACACACACACGTACACACACACAAGTACACACACACGTACACACACGTACACACACACACGTACACACACACGTACAAACACACACGTACACACACGTACACACACGTACACACACGTACACACACGTACACACAGCTCTCCGCACCTCCGATGAGCATGGCCGGCTACGTGCGAAAGAAGTTCAACATAACGTACAAAGATGAAGACCTCGTTTTACATTGGCCCCTGGCCCTGCTTGGCCCCGAGCCAGATTCAGACATCTTGTGAGGCCACAGCAGCACGGTTTGGTTCAGGCTCGGCTCGGCGAATAGGCCGCGAGGGCCCCTCCGTGCCATCCCGGTTCGGACGTGCCGGTGGAGGAGGGGTGTACGTGTGTGCGTCTCCCACCCTCAGGCCATGGAAGCGTGGGTTCCTGAGGAACAGCTGCCTCTGGTCAGGCAGCAGAGGTCCCAGGACCCGCTGGATGGTGTAGAGCTGGTCGATTTCGCTCTCGCCGGGAAACAAGGGCTGCCCGTCGCTCAGCTCGCCCAGGATGCAGCCCACGGACCACATGTCCACCGACTTGCCGTAGGGAGCGCTGTCGGATCAAATTAAAACCGTCAGTGCGGTGCGGTGGCGGCGCTCCTGCTTCACAGCAAGAAGGGACCGGTGTCGAGTTTGTGCGCTCTCCCCCTGTTCTTCATGGGCTCCACCACCACCTCCCACACACACAATGTAACTTTTCTTGGTTCAACATCCAAACGCTGAAAAATTAGCTGGAAATTACTCAATTGGGATTACAGGTAGCAACATCGTCATTTTATGGGCAGGGCTTCCGGGATAAACAAGTACATTGACATTTGCGTCTTTGCTATCATAAAGGTGCGACGCTTCATAGACGAGTGTAGTTTGCAGTCGTTTCAAAATAGCACGGCAGTGTTCTTACGTGGAGGGGGCGAGGGGGGGGCGAGGGGGGGGCGAGGTGGGGGCCAGGGGGGGGCGAGGGGGGGCGAGGGGGGGGCGAGGGGGGGCGAGGGGGGGGCGAGGGGGGGGCGAGGTGGGGGCGAGGTGGGGGCCAGGGGGGGGCGAGGGGGGGGCGAGGGGGGGGGGGGCGAGGGGGGGGGCGAGGGGGGGGGGCGAGGGGGGGGCGAGGGGGGGGCGAGGGGGGGGCGAGTGTGCGACTCACTTGAGCAGCAGCTCGGGGGAGCGGTACCAACGCGTGGCCACGTACTCGGTGTAGTTGGCGTTGCTGCCATCAGACAGGTTCCTGGCGAAACCTTGGAGATGAGAGGAGACGTGTTCTCATCCGTTCAGTCGTCATCGCTGGGAGGTGGCCGGCTGACATGAATAAGACCCGCGCTATGATGGCACATGAACGTGTGTGTGTTGCTGTGCATGTCTACGTGTGTCTCGGTGCCCGTTTGTATTTCTCCGTGTCTCTGTGTGCGTCTCCGTGTCTGTTGCCCCAACTGCGCATGCACGACCGAGGGAGCCGAGAGGGCCGGAGTGGGGGCCGACGGCTGATCTCTGCCACACTGCGCCACAGCCAATGGAGGGGGCAGTGCGGGAGGTGGGAGTTGGATAGGTCACTGAACACCTGGGACTTTGTTACGGCGGTCTACCACCTGTTGCAAATCACTGATCTACGTCAGTAACAACTGATCTTAATTTGAAATTTTCATTCATCCATCCTTGGACCTCATTTTTATTCAGGGGACATGACTTGAGCCTTGTTATATCGAGCTCTTACTGTACATTCATCAACAACACTGTGGCCTTGAATGGAAAATAACAATTCTAAAAATAACATTCTCAGTATTAAAATCACGTATCATGAGACACACAGATGAGAGCTCACCAAAGTCACACAACTTGAGGACATCATCCAAGCCAATGAGGAGGTTCTCTGGCTTGATGTCTACAACAGATTGTAAGAGAAATAGATGGGTTACTTTCCAAAACAAACTCAAATAACTTTTCAAAGACACATTCGTCAACAACACACAGAGACAATTGCGATCAAGCGACTAAAGTGAATTATAATGATGATCTGGAAGGGCTAGGAAGTTGACATTTGGACAACTGTAGAGAGAGACGTATGCCTCCCCTCAAACTTTGGGGAAGCCTTCATCCAGCAGCTGATTGTGGCGAGATGTTAAATACATCGCCTGGCATACAGGAAGACGTGGGTTCGATCCCGACCCTGATGCCTGTATATGTGGAGTTTGCATGTTCTCCCCATGGTTGCGTGGATTTGTCTCCGCGTCCTTCGGTTTTCTCCCTCCACATTTAGAAACGTGCGTTTCGAGTATTTGGCTGCTATAAATTTCCACGTGATAAGCCACTTCGTTGAGCAGTAACGTGGCCAGGTCGCTTCTGAAGAAGAGCTGTACAGCTCAGTGGGCCTTACCTTGTAGTTTTTGATTGCAAAACGACCACAAGAGGTGAAGGAGGAAATTGATGGTCAAAGGGTCACTGACATCAGCTCGGCGGTCAGGGTTAAGGGTCTGACGATGGCTGATGAGGACTAAATATAAACATCTGGAACTCTGTCACTTAAAATGTCCTTGGTTACACTTTCAATCTAACTCACAATTTCCACTGAGCTGTCGATTCTTTGTAACATCGCTCGCATTTGACATGCATCCTTGTCTATTTTACAAATTAGTACAATAGAGAGTGTCTGTTCCATGTTTCCGTAACTTAATTGACCGGTCAAAAAGAATCCGCCCAAGCCAACATATATACGCTATGGGAAATGCATTATTTAACAATTGATTTGTGTTCATGTCCTCAAAGTGTCCTCAAGGTCAAAGTTATTTCCTGCTCCAATGACACATTGAGGGCAGTGGAATATTTGGAAGAACCCTCTTGAAGAAGTCTTGAGGCTTTCGCGGGTTAACCAAGCGCGGTAAAAAAATATTAAACAGGAAAGATAATCTCAGCTCCCCTGCTCTGCTCGCAGCGGAGGGGTGTGACTTGCCTCGGTGGATGATGTTGTTGTGGTGGCACCAGTGAATGGCCTTCGTAAGCTGGTAGATGTAACTTCGGACCTTCTCTGGTGGAACTCCGTTTGGCAACTCCTCCAGAAGCTGAAGCATGTTCTGAGGAAGACGGGAACGGTCGTGGGAGGGTCGGGGGGCAGGCAATTGGTGTGAGTCATCATCAGCCGTGATCAATCCACTTCTGGATGAAGGCCCCAGGGGGGGGGGGGGAGGCAACCTGCCACAATCTCTCACGATCCTGCGATGCAACAATTCCGACATCTGATGAGATCGGGCACATCCCAGGTAATTTGGTCACGGACTATACAACAGTAAAATGACCCCTATTGTGATTGGTATTATTGTTGTTCCCTACTATAACGTGACAAGCTTGGTTACAAGGTGGCGAAGGAACAAATGCTTGCTGCCACGCTCAGCGGACCGCACCGATGGCTCTGAATGCACCAACTCACCTGTTGAATATTTTCCTTCTTACTCAGAAGCAACACGAGGGCTCGCTGTGTAACACACACAGGCATCTTTTCAGAACTATCGTCAGCAAAGGAGAGACAGCTAGAGGCGCTGGTGTGTTTACTTTTAATTAGAAGTGTTTGGTCCTCATAGGTTGAATAAGCCAAATAAGTAAAAAAATGCAGAAAATTTAACATGAAGTGTTTTTTTGTGTGCAGTGGTTGTTGACTGCTCTGGGACCATCAGCTCCCCACACCTAATAACTCAGTATAATCAGAGATGGCCCAAACCCAAGCTTAAACCCAGAATCTCAATGATGCTCACAAGGATATCATGAACACCCTGAGAGTGTTTACGACACAACTGTTATGAATCCTGTGAGTAGAAGACTCAGTTACCCAGGCCATACGCTTGGACGCAGGATCAGAATCTGACACAACCATTACGACGAGAGAGAAACACCCAGCTCCAGAGTTAAAACTTACGCACTCAATCGTGCCGACACGGCCATCATGAATCCAGCAATCCAGCCTGAACTCATTATTCCTGCGATGGAAATTCAGTGGCTCCAACACCACGTGGCCAGTATGAGCCCAATCAGCTGCCTTGCTACCTCCCATAATGAAAGACACCTTGTAAACCCCCGGGCCAAGCAGTCAAGCAGACAAAGAGGCCGATGTGTTTGTGCGCGTGTGACAGGCACAGTCACGCAACTCTGAGCTGCTATGAAATTAAGCGACGCGTCTCTCACACACACACACTCTCTCACGCTCACACGGCAAACACCTGCCCCCATGATTAAGAGTGAGCCGTTGTTCTTCGGCAGAGGTGGGCAATTTTTTGTCGCAGGCTGCCAAGTCAACAAGCTTGTGTGTGTAGGTGGGTCAGGGGGGCTGAGAGCCCTGCGGTTAAAACCTTCAGATTGGGTGTCTGTCTCTCTGTAGAGTAGTCGTGTTAGAGAAAAGTGATGATTGTGGTGGTAGTTGTGTTGGTGATGATGCTGCTGTTGATAATTATTATTCTTTAAAACAATGTCGGTGATGATAATGACGTTGTTGTTGCTGATTATGGTGATGTTGATAATAACTGATGTTGCTAAAGATGCTGCTGCTGATGATACTGCTGCTAAAAAAATGCTGCTGCTTGTTATGAAGATTATGATGCTGTTGGTGCTGATGTTACTGCTGATGGGGTAGAGTCAACTCCCGATTATAATACGAATGAGCGACTGCGAGTCAATCACTCTGACTAAAGCGACATCCGGCCTGGTCTCTATGATCTCAAGGGGTTCGCAATGCATGTATGTCTGTACGTTGAACTTTCTTTCGCACCGTACGTAGCCAACCGTCCTAATGGGAGGAAAACAAGTACTTGAGATTTCCTGGATAATTAAGGACAATAGTACGGTGCATCCATTTTTACAAAACTCCATCATTTACATCAAGGCCTACTTCATAGCCCTATTAAGGCTTCCCGTACACAGAGGGGGGACACGAGCAATCCAATGGATGTCACGGCGTCGAGCAGCGGCGTTTTACCTTCTCCACGTACTCGAAGACGAGGTGGAGCTTCCCTCGTCGCCGGAACGCCTCCCGTAGCTCGACGATGTTCTCCTGACGCAAGCGCCGCAGGACGGCCAGCTCACGCGCCGTCGTTGCCCGCACATCATCGCGATCTGCGGCGTAGCAGGGAAATATCGTGGGGGGGTTGATGGGTCGCAGGGGGATATTTCAGAAGGTGCAGGAGACTTCTGCTTTGCTTGCCCGTGAGTTCGGGAAGTAAGGATTCTGGCGGCCTGCGATTCAGCGAGTTGTCGAATTTCGATTCAGAGCGGCGATCATTTTATTTTAAACCACAGCTGCTGAGCCACGGGCCCAATAGGCCCAAAACGTCAAGCGGCGAACAACCAACAGCACTATCCAGGTTATAATAGGTAACAGTTATGAACACGTTTCTTGAATCCAGCAAGGTTATTATTATAAGAGCCTGGTGACAGAGACAACGGGAGGAATTCCTAAGAGGGTCGCAGTGCGAGGAGATGGAGCGACGAGATGAGTGCATCATGTGCGGATGCCGCATGGATTGCTGCATAAACGAGATCACGGGGACTGGCAGCGACTTTAGGCGGCTTTCATCCGCCAGTGTATTGATCACCGCTTAAGGTGAGGAATCATCGAATCGAATCCTGTTTGCACCCCCCCCCCCCCGACTCGTGACGATGAACCGAATGGACACAAAGCTGTTTGACAAACTCCCAGCATACGTGAGCCAGCACAACGCCAACACACACCCAGAGAGCAGTGGAAAGTGTAAGCAGTGGAAATACACCCACATTCCCAAGACCTCGGGGGGTTTTCAAAGCTCGGTCTATAAATAGTTATGGCGAGCTGCATTTCCTGCGTCAGGGCCTGGCCGTAATCGAGTCCCCATGTAGGTACGGCGCTGCTGTTCAGTATGCGGCCATGTGTGGTGGCGCGCCACCTGCGATCCAGCGCTTGGAAGGCAAGGGTTGGTGGATCACGTGGAGATTTGTGAAATCCACTTGGCAGCGAGGTGGTGGCCCAGGGGAAGGCGGTGCGGCAAGGGGGTTCGTGAGGCTGCAGAGCGTTAACCTCCTCACATGCGCAGTGGGTTTACTCTGGGCTCTCTGGTTTTCTGCCACGCGAAGCCAAACTCTTGACGAATGGAATTGGCCAAACACCCCAATGTAGCAGCACCCTCTCGAAATAGTCAGTCTCGTGACTCGGTGAGGTTTTTCTGGGTGAATGAACGACAACTATGATGACAGAGAGTAGCAAACAGGTTTGAATTATATTTAAGAAGCACGGGTACCTTCACTGTCTTTAAACTTCTTGATGGCCACAATCTCATTGGTCTCCTGCAAATAAACAAAGCATTCATTAAATTCGCTTGATCAAGAATTGGTTAATATGTAGGATTTCGCGACCAATATCATCCATAATACAGGTATTTTTGGGTTAGATGGAGTAAATATAAATGCGTCGTTAAACCACAAATCCGGCTGCCGCCTGATGATGCTGGTTGTAATTACTGGTAAAACGTCGTACTCGGATTGTAAATGTTGTGGATTTGCTCTCCAACACACCGGTGTGCTGTACTAGTATACAACACTATACACTACACTATACACTACACACTACGCTATACACTACACTATACACTACACACTACGCTATACACTACACTATACACTACTATGCACTACTATACACTAGTGCTGTACTAGAAAAGAATTGGCACGTTCTGTTTACGTGACAACCCTTACTAGTTGGTTGTGTCGGGTGGTGGCGGGTTTAACGACACATTTATATTTATTCGATCTAACCCATTAAAAAACTGCATTATGGATGATCAAGAATTACGCGTCTTTGCCACAGCGACCGGGAGATATTAAATAAATATATACGTTTCACGTTTACTTTGTTTAACCAGGCGAGAGGACTCCAAGAGGCCGGGACGAGTTTTAATTTCAAGAGGGAGCTGGGGCAATAAAGGTTTAATGTGTTTGTGTGATTTGTTTACCTTTATTGAACTTTGCGCTCCTATCGTGCTTTTGTATTGTTTGATGTTGTAACGTTCTTACCCCGTGCCCCGACTGGACATCTGTGAAGAGCTTTACAGCTCATCAGATTCCTCCAGTACGAATACAGATTCAGATACGATTGCTTTGTTTAAATCATCCCAATTAAGTTACTCGCCGTGACATTTTCGAACGTGGCAAATTTGGACCGCAACGCCCAGGACAAAATGGCCCACTGTTGCAAACGACATCGGGGGATCTCTAACGTCCGCCGTGATTGAGACGGCATGAATCTTACAGTTTTTACACCTGCAGTCATGATGTACGTATGCATGTTGAACTTGCTTCGCAGACCATATGTAGCCAACCGTGCCTGGGTCTTCTTGGGGGTTATTTGATCATTCAAGAGGCTGGCTAGTGTGGGTTTGGTGAGGCTGAGGAGCATAGACGTGGGAATCACAGAGTACAGTACAACAATTAATTTTATTGCACTGCCCTCTGCTGCCCGCCATGTAGGCCCACAAAGTGGCAGAACCATTGTAACGACCCAGATGGATGATAAGTATGAGTACAATGATGATAGGCTGCAGATTCTGAACGTACGAGTGTGTTCTCTAACAATAGCAGCATCTGGCAGATTTTATCTCAGGGAGCTCATAATGACCGTGTCAGAGCCACTGAGCTAATATCGCTAAGATCCACTATTTAAGCCATAGAGCTGAGTGTGCATGTCTCTCTCTCTTGCAGAGGTTCACAATGGCCATGTCAAAAGTGCCGAGTAAACAATGCAGATAAATACTGAGGAATTAAAATACACGCTACAATATAATAATAGGCAGGAGTCCTGGAAGAAGTTGATAACAAACTTATATTTTAAGACAATCCTTGCTATCCTTTTTGACACACTTTGAAAATGTAAAATAACATTTTCACACACTGAACTTAATCATTCACTTAATTCATCTACGCAATGTGGCACATGATTCAACAGCAGCCTACTTTCTGGACGATGAGATTGTGCGAGTTTTTCCAAGGACAGTTCTTGAAATACAAACGTCATCATTTTCATGTCATTTACTCGTCCAGGAAAGCCTCAGCCCGAGTCACAACTATTCTTCACGAGGATCCTGCATTGAGTTGTATAACCAGTTCCGTGCTCATAAGAAGCAAACGATAACAACTGAAAGGGCCGCACAGATCGTCTTCAGCAACCCACTTGCTGTACTGTCATGTGCTAGACACTGCACAAAGTTGATTTGAAGCTTTCGTGATTGCAGGAATCCATACTCTTTGGCTCTTTCGGTAAAGTCACGTAGGTACCAAATAAAATACCCACGTGACTTTACTGAAAGAACCAAAGAGATCTGCACAAAGTGTTTTACCTGAGCTAGCATCACCGAGTCTCGAGATTATTTACGTCCGAGGGGGATAACGCTCAAAGCGCCGCGCAGTTTCACAAAACCCACTTGCCCTGTCATTCCCTTGGCCACCATTCGGGAGTTTCACAAAGCTCCGTTTTGCTTCCTCGCCAACATGCGTCGACAGCTTTAGGGCCATCTTCTTGGTTCTTTCGGTAAAGTCACGTAGAATGGAAATAATAATAAAAATAAAACATAATAAAATAATTCTCACGATGTTTCGGCCACAACGCAAGTAGTCTGAAACTCTGTCTCCTCGACAGACCTGTTCTCCACCTGAGGACGGCTACCCTGCAGTCACGAAAGCTTTAAATCGAGCTTTAGGGCCGTTGCTCGTGAGAGACCACCCAATCTAAACAGACACGGTCGGAGTTCAGCAGGTGCAGCGTTGCGAGTCGACAATTATTTAATTTCGTGCTGCCCTCTACGCGCGACCCCTGAAACCCCTTGAGATCCATTAGCGGAGGGCGCCCAAGAGGTGAGAGTCCCCAGTCTTTAATCAGCAACCCTTAACAAAGACGACGACGCCGCCGCCGCCAAACACAGCGGGGCCGTGACTGGTGGTGGCACAAGGGGATCCATTTCGATACGTAATACTTTCTAGCGGCATAACAATGCGCACGAAAAAAGAAGCGAACGCACTTCCCGGTGGCACAGTTGCTCCCTGGCAACCAGTTGCAGAGGCGTCCACACATACGATAGATTCAGTTGCACGCAACCGAGTTGCGCCACTCACCGCTCAGGCATGGATCCGGCTAGAGAGCACGAGCATTTCCACTTCTGCAACTCAATCCACATTGCTGGACATTGGAATCCGATTACAGTACCAGGTTATTTGTAGTGATATTTATTTATTTTTACAGCGTTGCTCACATGGCCGGATTGCCACATTAATAATTTCTATAAATTGATTAATTCAAGCAGAATTTCACCTTTAATCATCACCATTATCCGTTCAGTCTCTACCAGAATGACCGTTTTATATACTGCGGCCCAGTGGATCTGGGAGTTTGTGAAAAAGCATTTCTTTTGCACAGATTTTTGCGTTTAGTTTTGTTGTCCTTTCCCCCACACATCCAATTAGCACGGTTGGCTACGCACTGTGCGAAAGAAGTTCAACATACATACAGCCATGCTGTGTTCAACCGCTATACTGTAGATTAGCACATAACACCCAGTCCACCACCTTGCAGGTCACCTCACTTAAATCTACCTCGCTTGGTATGAGGGAGGCCGTGGGTTCGATCCCGGCCCCGACGCCTGCTGTAATATTTGGAGTTTGCGTGTTTCTCTCCCCGTGGCAGCGTGGATTTTTCTCCAGGTCCTCCGGTTTTTCCCTCCACATTTAAAATCAACGTCACACGTTTAGAGTATTTGGCTGCTATTAATTTCCACGTGATGATAACCCACCTGGTTGAGCTATCATTTGCTGTAGTGAGGTTGCTTCTGAAAAAGAGCTGAATAGCTTAGTGGGCCGTACCTGGTCAAATAATAAGAGTTCAATTTTCTGCTTCTTCCCTTGCACCGTTCCACACTTTTGGAATTCCCTCCCATCGGCTCTTCACCTCCCATGCTCTTTCTGTAAACTTTCTCAATTAAAAATAAAGTGTTCACTCTTGTCTGTGACAACCCCGACAGCGCCGTTCGTTTCTGGCTAATTTGACGTGTTTGGGGCCCGTTGGGCAACAGTGTGACAAGGAATTGGTTTTACCCTTTCTGGAAATAAGTAGTGTTCGTCTTTTGGCATTCTCTGGTCTGACACTGGTGAGACTAGGCCATAAGGAAGACTGTCTCTGGTGTAGGCCAATCAGTTTCACAGACAATGCATTTCTTATCAGAGCATGTTTGTTTGCATGCTCATCAAAAGTACGTGTGGTTTGTGCAGACTTGATTCCTTGCAAAAGATTTCTATTTGGTGTTTGAACATCTTGACACCAGTTTTATTGCCAGAATGAGTAAAACTCCATTCCTATTTTTCCGTACTTTGATACCGCCAACAAAAGCCCCACGGTATAGTGTGAAAAGGGCGTTTTTATGCAGCAGTAGTAATAATAATAATGCCCGCTTCTGACTTGTGTAAAGTCCACAGGCAGCCAATCACCATGCGAGGCCAGGGGCCAACGACAGCAGGATTGGCATGAGAGCTGTGTGAGCACGTAAAAAGACACGTGACATTATATCATTATTACTAATACTACGTTTGTTCACCCAGGAAAGTCTCAACGAGTCTCAAGACTCCTTTCAGGACGCGTCTGCTAAATGTGTTTTTCAGTAGAGCGAGATGTTGCTGTCTGTAATCTAAACAGAGTAATTTGCATTGGGTTGCTTGGCCAATACCAGTTACATTGTGTACCCTCTCAACACACACATAAAGACAAAGATCCCCCATATAGCCTATAACAGACTGTTGGGGCAAGTGTTGTTAGCGACAACAGCACACGAGGGGGTGGGTGGCCAGCACCACGCCCAGCCGCCTTTGTCTCCGCACCGGCGATGTTTTCACACCGCACCAGGTACTCATTTGAGGCTGAGTCGAACTAGGGGAGGCTCAGGACCGGTTCAGATAATCGTCACTGGTGTTGGCCATGGGCGGGAATCGAACTCGGGTCTCTGGGTTCGTAGCGCAGCATGCTAACCGCTACACTACCGCTCCCCGCACACAGACACACACTCGCTCACTCACTCACACTATGCACAACGGGGAGATAACATACAATGCGCGTGCAGAAGGACGCCCGGACCAGGACTCAAACCCAGGTGGTTCTTGCTGCGAGACTGTCACTGCACCATCCTGGTCTTTGCCCACAGATAAGAGAGAGACGACGGCGTTGCCCAGAAGCTTCCCGTTGGCTGCGTGGCTCAGGTAGTGGCAGTAACGCGATCCGGGGCAGATTTTACGCTCGACTTCCCCGCTTTTGA